GTCAACGTTGAAGGTAGCGGGGCACCGCCCCAAACCGCCAACCGCCGGCCAGATAGTTGATGGCCAATCAATTCGTCCCGAAGATGCACGCGGTCGTGGCTCCGATACCAACTGATGTGTGCCTGATTGAAAACGAATCCAGCATAGCATACACATGTTCCCATACACATGCGAAATTGCAAGTAGACTTGGAGAGAGAAAATCCACACCGAACCGGATGATGAAAATGCACAGCGGAAGCACACAAATACCAAAAATAGAATTGAAACGAAATCAATTCTAATTTACCGTCTCTCCCAGTTCAATCAACAGCACAACTCCAAGAATCCCAACCACGTTAACAACATCTATGAACAAATTATTTACAGAGTTTCATCGAGGGAGACTTCTTCCTCCCACACCTTCGAGCTCACAGCTATGGCGCAGGCCTGCGCCCAACCTATAAAGCCCACTAATCGCCACCAACCCTTGTGTCCCTAAACAGTCACTCAGCAGTTCAACCGCGATGCCCACTGCAGATGACGTGTCCAAGGGAAGCTCCCTAGACGAAGAAGAAGCACAACAGCTCGATGAAGATGGTGACCTGCCACTTCGAAGCAGGCATGGAAAAGCTGCTTCGATGGCAGCTGTCCAAAACCCCATACAGAACAGCGGTGGAGGAAGCATCTCACAAAGCAGGGCCTGATGCCCCGGGGCCAATTCCACACAAGCCAGGTAAACCCACCTATGGCTGTCAGCTTCCCTTCGACGAGGAAGGAGGAGCAGTACTTGGAATTAACGCAGCTTCAGCAGCACTTCGTGGGAAAAAAAATGACGAACAGAACCCCTAACACTTTGCCCTCGGTACTTTTGTTCATCTCCAGCCTCCCAGACCCGACAGCCTACAGCTTAGTTTTGCATCTACAGCCTAGGACTGTATCTAGACAGAAAACAGCACCAGAGGGGAGAGGCCTACGTTCCTCCTACTGAAACAACCCAAAACAGCCCAAAGGGTCTATGACCAGCCAACAGAGACTGCTACTGACAGGTCTAGGGATCGAGTCCAACAAGGCTCAAAATAAACAGGCAAACACAGCCAACAAGCAAACCAGCAGACAAACAGGTTGCGGGATCAAATCCCGAACGACTCAAAACCAGGCAACATCAAACAAGGTTAGTGTACAGCTCGCATGCCACTGCAATTCATTGCAAAATTCTGTCTGCTTTGCAGCCGAAGGCCCTGGCTTCACAGTGCCAGATCTCATAGTCATACGGGAGGTGCATATCCTCCCGAAGCCCAGGGGAAAGAAGAATCTGAACAATGGGTCCAACAAAACTGAGAGGGTCAGTAAACCTTGCATAGGGTAATCATCCATGATAAAATGCAGCACAGGTACCCCTCCGTTGACCCCACCAGGTAGGACCCCCACTTGTTTGGCAGGCTGTCTTCTTTAACTAAAATTTTCTTCAATTCGCGAACTTAAAAAAAAAGAAGGCGAAAGGTAATTTGAAACCACCTCTGGAGGTGGTCTCAAAAAGGGTCCTCCCGCTGCCCCACAGGCCGCTGACAAAAGGGTAACCGTTTGAGGCATTTGGGTAGGGGGCCTCTCCAGCGTGACCCGAAAACTGACTCAAATTTTGGGATTTAAGGTCTTTTGGTCCTCGTGTGAATATGCCCTCCGGACATGCTCACACTAGGAGTTTTTTAGTTATTTCGGGACTGAAGTGTGGCCAGATGCATCCAGGTGTGGCAGTAATGTGGTCAAATACATTTAAGAGATTGCTAATTGTGAGTAGCCCCTCAGGGCGTGAGTATGCACTCACTGACAAGGTCTTGTTGCAGTGGAGCCAGAGCTGTTGCAAAACATGCCTCTCTCTCTCTCTCTCTCTCTCTCTCTCTCTCTCTCTCTCTCTCTCTCTCTCTCCCACCCTCGCTACTTCTTCCCCGCTTTCCGGCAACGCCCCACAGGGGCCTTGGCCCACATGCACCGCGTAGTGCCTGAAAACTACACGGTGTGGCAGCGGAGAGCGGGAAATGTACATCTGCAGTATTGTCTGTGCCATGGCGCCGTGCCATGTGTCACGGTAGTCCCATCATTGTAAAAATGGTGCACCAAATGAGGGTGCGGCCGATCTTTGTAAAAATGGTGCAGCAAATGAGGGTGCGGCCGATCTTTGCCGGAGGCCATATAGAGTGCTGCTTTTGATCTCCGCAGGCCAAAGAAAGGGCCTGCCCATGGGAAAACAAAAATCCCCACACTCGGCCCAGAGGCATTTCCTGAGCAGTGATTCGAACCCCAAGTAGGCGAGAATCAGACTGTAAGTCTCTGAAAAAAAAAAAAAAAAACATGAGCTTTTCTGCTGATCCCTGCACTTTCGGCCTCCCTGCACTACTCTCCACATGCGGAGAAGACAAAAAAGACGGCAATGTATCTGTTCATGTTCCAAAGGAAGAGTCAGTATCGTTTTGCACAGACTGCGAGATCCCACACGCAGCACTACAGTTTCTGAGGTTCTTACTCCACATACCAGAGGCAGGGGAGAATCAATAGTGTTCTTCAGCCTCAGTACGGGGCGATCTTGTCTGCACTACGGAGACTGACAGATTCACGGATCTGCGGCCCGGCCCCACGTCCGCCGCCATGCCCACGCCCCCATGCCCATGCCCTATTTCGTGCCGTTTTCATAACTTTTCAGTCCTTCCGACCAGACCCCACGGTGTAGTTAGCCACCCTGCTTGTCAGAAGGTGGCTAACTACACAGCCTCCTCACAAAAGCTGCCTTTCCTCCTCGCGGAAAACAAATGGAAAAATGACAAGTATCAATGGAAGAGGCTTACCATTTCTAAAAGGAGCGTCTTCGCCATATGCCGTCCGATCTGTGGCCTCTGGACGGCTACGGCCTGTCACACCCTGCGCACAGACTACACGCTGCATGTGGGCGGAGGCCCCTGGTGTTTGGGTTTTGCAAGTGCTGTCTCTCCACTGGCCCACATTCTAAATGCATCGGAGGCTAGTATACGTCCCGATGCATTCAACTTTGAAACAGTCTAAATGTATGCTAAAAAGTCATAAAACCTCCGCGCAGGGAAAACTTTGTATCCATTTTCCGGCTTCATTTTTGCAGCCTGCAAAACACTTTCCCGCCACTATTACACAGCGGCCGTTATTTGCACCCTGCAAAACACTTTCCCGCCACTTTTACACATCGGCCGTTATTTGCACCCTGCAAAACACTTTCCCGCCACTTTTACACAGCGGTCATTATTTGCACCTGCAAAACACTTTCCCGCCACTTTTACACAGCGGCCGTTACCGGCCCCGTTAACTTCGCGCGTTAAGGTGTAAAACTGACACCAAAAGTGATTTTGGGACCTGTCGCAGTTTTCCTCTTTTTTGGGGGAAATGGATAGAAGGGTTTCGTCGCAGGGAGGTTTTATGACTTTCCCTAAATGTATCCGGGTCTGTAACTGGACCGGATACATTCAGACTGTTTTGAAATCTCGTTTGTACCAGGAGACTTGCAAAACACACACGCGACAGAAGCTTCACTACCGGGTTGAGATGTTGAGGGATTCCCGGCCTCATTCAATTACTTCTATAATATAAACTGCGACTTGTTTTTTGAGGAAAAAAAAAAAAAAAAAAAACACACACGCAAAGATAGAGAGAAACGAAGAAAGAAAGAAAGAAAGGGAGGGAGGGAGGGAGGGAGGGAGGGAGGGAGGGAGAGAGGTGGAGGGAGTTGGGGGCGGGGGGGAGAGAGAGAGAGAGAGAGAGAGAGAGAGAGAGAGAGATGAATCGCCCGCATTTATGGGTATGTGGGCGTTCTTTTGTGTGAGTGTGAAAGAGAGAGAGAGTCGCCGTCATGTGTGCGTGCGTGCGTGCGTGCATGCGTGTGCGTGTGCGTGTGCGTGCGTGCGTGCGTGTGTGTGTGGGTTGTGTGTGTGAGAGAGAGAGAGAGGGAGACACACACACAGAGAGAGAGAGAGAGAGAGAGAGAGAGAGAGAGAGAGAGAGAGAGAGAGTTGCAGGCATGTTTGTGTGCGTGCGTGAACGGGTTTGAGTGTGTGAATCTGGGAGCCAGATTGCCGTGCTGGGTTTTTCGCGAAGTTGCGGCCGCGGTAGACGGCGTAGAAAAGTGCGCAGGCCGAGGCCTCAGCGGCCAGGTTCAGATTGCAAATTTGACAGCTGGCCTGACAAGAGCATAATCACAAGGAATTTGGGCCAAAAGGACATTCCGCTCTACTCAAATATTTAAGTGGTACGTCTCCTCTTCTGGGGTACATTGCAAATTCCTACGAAAAAGAAGGAAAAAAATAAAAACAGCGGCCATGAATAATTCAATTAAATCACGAGCCATTCGGCTACGTCATCATTTCTTCTTTTTTTCCTTTCTTTTGACAGTGGGGAATCTCGTTTATTAATTCATTTGCTCCACTAATTAGATGACGACTCTCTCTCTCTCTCTCTCTCTCTCTCTCTCTCTCTCTCTCTCTC